CGGGGGGCTCGGAGCGGCTCGGGACCTGTACGCCTGGGCGGCCGGGGGGGGACCATGGACCGCGCGTCGCACCGAGGCGTGGCGGCCCAGAACCGGCGGAGCGACACGCCATCCAGAAGTTCCACACCGCACAGTCGGACTTCATCGGACAGGACACGCGAGAGGACACAAGACCCTTCCCAGGGCCACATCGCCATAAGAATGCAGGAGGCACGGGTCGCGAGACACAGGACACAGAGGTGCCCTTGATTTGGCAGGGTCGACCTACTAATCCGGGCCGGCTGTACTCCAAATCCCTTATTAATCGTCCCCCGAGTCCGGTTTTTTGAGGCGCCCTTTTTGTAACTGGGGGGGTCCGGTTAATCAAGGAGCTCTCTCTGGATTGGAGCTCAGGGGGTCCGGCTTATCAAGGCGCCCCCTCGAAGAGAGGGGTCCGGAATGTTAGGTCGCATTTGGAGGGGGGTCCGGATATTTAGGGGGGGTCGATCAATAAGGGATTTGGAGTAAGCACGGCTTCTCCACAGCTGGAAATCATCTTGAGACACATATTTCAACATGTTCTGCTCACAAAAACGTTTCGCCCGTCCCCCCTCTCCTCCCCCAACGAGTGAGGGACGGAGGGAGGGAGGAAGTGGAATGGGGGGAGGGAGGGCGGGAGGAGGAGTCCCGAGAGGCCCCCTTCGACAGCAGCCCCAACAGGCACGCTCCAGGGACGTCGGCCCTGAACCTCGAGGGCAGAGGGAGGGGCTGGCTGCGCAGGTGGCGCCACGTGCGCGAGGTCTCGGGCCTGGCAACGGCCGTCGCAGGGCCTGAATGTCAAACAGGCTGGCATCTCGCGAGGAGGAGGAGGAGGAGGAGGAGAAAAGAGGGATGAGGAGGAGAAATATGATGATGATGATGATGATGATGATGATGATGATGATGATGATGATGATGATGATGGTGGTGATGATGATGATGATGGTGGTGATGATGATGATGATGATGGCGATGGTGATGGTGATGGTGATGATGATGATGATGATGATGATGATGATGATGATGATGATGACTATGCTGATGATGATGGTGGTGGTGATGATTCTGATTGTGCTGCTGATGATGATGAGGCTGAGGATGAGGCTGAGGCTGAGGATGATGATGATGATGCTGATGCTGCTGATGATGATGAGGATGATGAGGCTGAGGCTGAGGCTGAGGCTGAGGCTGAGGCTGATGCTGATGCTGATGCTAATGATGCTAATGATGATGATGATGATGCTGATGATGATGATGCTGATGATGATGATGATAATGATGATGATGATGCTGATGACTATAATGATGATGATGATGATGATGATGATGATGATGATGATGATGATGATGATGATGATTATGATGATGAGGAGGAGGAGGAGGAGGAGGAGGAGGAGAAGGAGGAGGAGGAGGAGGAGAAGAAGGGATGATGATGATGAGGAGGAGGAGGAGGAGACGAGGCGGAGGGAGGAGATTGAGCACGGAGGAGGAGGAGGAGGAGGAGGAGGAGGAGGAGGAGGAGGAGGAGGGGAGGAAAGGAGGAGGAGGAGGAGGAGGAGGAGGAGGGAGACGACGAAGAGGAGGAGGAGGAGAAGTAGGAGGAGGAGGAGAAGTAGGAGGAGGAGGAGAAGTAGGTGCAGGAGAAAAGAGGGATGAGGAGGAGAAATCTGATGATGATGATGATGATGATGATGGTGATGATGATGATGATGATGGTGATGGTGATGGTGATGGTGATGGTGATGATGATGATGATGATGATGATGATATGATGATGATGATGACTATGCTGATGATGATGGTGGTGGTGATGATTCTGATTGTGCTGCTGATGATGATGAGGCTAGGATGAGGCTGAGGCTGAGGATGATGATGATGATGCTGATGCTGCTGATGATGATGATGAGGATGATGAGGCTGAGGCTGAGGCTGAGGCTGAGGCTGATGATGCTGATGCTGATGCTAATGATGCTAATGATGCTATGATCTGATGATGATGATGATGATGATGATGATGATGATGATGATGATGATGATGATGATGATGATGATGATGATGATGATGATGATGATGATTATGATGATGAGGAGGAGGAGGAGGAGGAGGAGGAGGAGAAGGAGGAGGAGGAGGAGGAGAAGAAGGATGATGATGATGAGGAGGAGGAGGAGGGGACGAGGAGGAGGAGGAGATTGAGCAGGAGGAGGAGGAGGCTAGGAGGAGGAGGGGGAGGAGGAGGAGGAGGAGGGGAGGAGGGAGACGACGAGAGGAGGAGGAGGAGAAGTAGGAGGAGGAGGACGAAGAGGAGGAGGAGGAGGAGGAGGAGGAGGAGGAAAAGAGGAGGAGGACGAAGCGGGGAAGGGGGAAGGAGGGGGGGGGCACTTCCGCTTCCGCTGGGCTCCCGCTATCTGCCGCAGAGGCTGAGCATCGTGAGTCCGACCCGTGTCCCCGTGGGCGTGGCCTGGGCCCCACTGGACGATCTGCCCCCCCTGCGAGGGTGCAGGCCTCCTCCTCCTCCTCCTCCTCCTCCTTTTCCTCCTCATCCTAGGAGGAGGAGGACGAGGACGAGGACGAGGAGGAGGAGGAGGAGGCTGCTTGCTTGTCTAGTTCGGGAATCCCCCAAGGGGCGCTCCGCTTTCCATTTCCAGTTCGGTACCTTCCGAAGGGTTGCCGATCGCGCGCTCTTCTGCATGCGCGTCCCTGCATGTGCTTGGCTCTGTGGTGGTGGCGGAGAGGCTGCTTCCTTCGGGCTTCGAGGGGTGTATCTCCAACTGGGGCGCTGAGATGGGGATAGGATAGGGGTCGGTGGAACGATGCTGAAAAAAAAAGTGGGCAACTTCTCGATCCACCAGGGAGGCGGGGCCCTCTGTGGAGGGCCCTCCGTGCACGTGACCGCGGGCCCATCACAGGCAGTCGTGGGACCGGCCCCACCGCAGCCCCCTGAGGGGACATCGGCCTGGCATCGCAGTGCATCGCCAACTCCTATGCGACAGGGCCCTGGGCAGGGAGGCTTCATCGGGAACCTGTCGGCGATGAGTGGGCGATTGGGGCTCGATGCGCCCCCCCGCGAGTGAGCCCAGTCTACCCCTAACGTTGCCCCTGCCTTCCCCCCCCCCCGGCTTCCACAGGTACTGGGACGCCGATCTCGCGGGCGACCTCGGCGGCGGCGAGGGTCAACAGAGGGGGCTGGACGACGACGACGACGACGACGACGACGACGACGACGAGGATGGCGTGCTGAGGTCTGGACCCAGACATGGCATGCCCTGATGTCGTTTCGATACGGGGCTCCCGGAAATACAGACCCTTGATCCTGAGCGTCAGAAGCGATCGTTTTTGACACTCCCGGGACCCAGGAGGGGTCCTCAGAATTCCAGAACGGCCCAAATAGAGGACTCCTAGATGGGGCTCGAATAGATAGGGTCGGAGGATCGCGCCGCATCGCCGATGCTTCACCGATACATCGACGATGCATCGACGATGCATCGGCGACGTCGGCGATGTGTCGGCGACGTCTGCGTGGAGAAAGTCGGGCTCCGCATCGAGCAGCATCGTTGATGCATCACCGATGCATCAGCGATTCTGCGAAATCCCCCAGCCCCATCTGCTCCGATCCCATCTAGGAGGCCTAGGATTCTAGGACGGCCGAAAACCTCCAACCAGGGCCAGGGGATTGGGTCGAGAGCTCGCGGGGCACGCGTCGCCGTGACAGAGCTCACGGCGTGGGACGTCGAGAGAAAGCCAACCCCCTTAGTGGGCCACGGATACGGCAGGGCCGTTTTTCACCAGCTCCGAAAAAGTGTCTCTTGAAACCCAGACCCCCTCACGTTGTGAAACAAATCACGACAAGAGGTTGTTCGTTACTTTCGGCCTCTGGGGTCCCTTTCCGGCTCTCGGGACCGTTCAAAAACGATGCAGGATGAAAAACAGGTCCAGGGAATGGGTCTGGACCTCTGGGGGTCGCGTCATGGCAAATCATAGCGTCGGGGGTCCGGGAAACGGAAGCCGGCAACGAAAACGGCGGACCCGCCGCCGACATTTGCCCCGGATGGGACGCACAGCGACATACTAGTATTATATATCCTCCTTGGAGGCGCGCGTCCGACCCGACCCATGTTGTAGTAGATCGTTTCCCGAACGGTGCGGCCAGGAAACGCCCGCCCAAGCAGGGGGGAGGAGGAGGAGGAGGAGGAGGAGGAGGAGGGAGGAGGAGGAGGAGGAGGAGGAGGAGGAGGAGGAGGAGGAGGAGGAGGGAGGAAGATAGGAGGAGGGGAGGAGGAGGAGGAGGAGGGAGGGAGGAGGGGAGGAGGAGGGGAGGGGAGGAGGAGGAGGGAGGAGGAGGAGGAGGAGGAGGAGGAGGAGGAGGAGGAGGAGGGGAGGAGGAGGAGGAGGAGGGAGGAGGAGGAGGAGGAGGAGGAGAGGAGGAGGAGGAGGAGGAGGAGGAGGGGAGAAGGAGGATGAGGAGGAGGAGGAGGAGGAGGAGGAGGAGGAGGAGGAGGATCGCACGCCACTGAGGGAGAACGAGAGAGGTCCAGGCCTCCAAAAAACCCTGGGCGAGCCCGTCGAAGGAGAACTTTTTTGTCACCCTGGCTGAGGGGACCTATCTTAACCAGGGCCAGCGGCGGGGCTCTCCCAATGTTAACAACTAAAGAGGACTGCTTCTTCGGAGAGCGGGTCGAGGTCGCGTCGCAGGGCCCCACGGCCAAGCTGTCGAACCCGCTCCTCACCTGACCTGGGGGCTCCACGGGGGCAAAAGCAGAGGAACCCAAACGGCGCAGCCCCTCCCTCGTCCCATATCAGCCGCTGGCTAGCGACGGGGGATGGGCCGCTTAACCCCGAGGGGTACGCTGCGCACACACTGCCAGACACTGACACGCCCGCGTCCAGAGCCCATTGCTCCAACAGGCCTCCTGCAGCCTGGCACCGACTGCACAAAAGACAAAACTCGCCAGGGTCAGCGGCGACCCGTGGCCCGACGATACCGATCCAATGCCCTTTACGAGACCCAGCCGCCCTGATCGCCAACGTCGCCAGTGATCCAAGCCTCACTCATGGATAGACGGGCCTCGCGGACGCCACGAAGCCAGGCCAGCCCCGCTCGACGCTCGGCCGCCGTGGCGGGCGTCGGACTGTCCGCCTCGGCCTCCATGCGCCAGCCTGGCCTCCGAAGGTCTCGGTCGAAGTCGGTGTCGTGGCAGCTCGTCGCCATGTGCCGCTGCAGCACCTTGAGCCGCACCTTGCCAAAGGCCTCGGTGACCTCCTCCTTCCCATCGTGCGTCTCCAGCCGCCTGCCCTGGTACCCCTTGGAGCTCCGCACTCCGAGAGACTCCGAGAGCACGTCGCCGAAGCTCAACTGCTGCACGTACTCCTCCAGCTGAATGCCTTGGTTCTCCAAGGAGCTCAGCAGGCCGAGGGGCTCCGAGTGCACGTCGCCGCCGTGCCGCGTGTCCAGCTCGTCGCCAAGAGCCTCGGGCGTGTCGAAGTCCTTCTCCAAGCACTCCTCGTCCTCCAGCTCCTGCTTCTGGCCGCCGATCTCCAGCACCTGCTCCTGGCCGTCGACGTTCGGCGGGACCTCCATGATCTCCGCGTCGTCGCAGCGCGCGGCAGGCACGAACTCGGCCACGCTCTCCGAGACCACGTGCTCGCCCCCGCCCTTCTGCACGACCCCAGGTCTGCCGCCAGCATCGCGGCCCGAGCTCTCCAGCGCCTCGGGCCAGAACTTGGGCCCCGACGTCAAGTCCGTCAGGACGCGGGCGTCCGCCTTCCTGACCTTCTCGGCGAGGCATAACTTGGCCCCCGCGGGTACGCTGAGCCCGCGCCTCCGCACAGCTACTGCCCAGTCAGCGGGCACGCTCTCAGCCGCCGACCGCTGGGCAGGCAAGCGGCGGTACACGGCGCCCACGCTCGGCGCCCGCCCCTGCCTCAGGTCGCGGCCTCCCCCACGCGCAGCGTGCGCAGCGCGTCGGCTTCCAGGGAGCCCCACCGAGGGCGGACTCCCAAGGGCTCCCGACGCGCCCAGCCTCGCGGGCCCCCGCCCGATGGAGCGCCGAGGCCCTCGGCTGAGAGCGGCGAGCCTCCGGCCGCGCCCCTGCCGCTGCCACCGGCTGAGCTGCAGCATCCCCGCCGACGCGATGCCCGTCGCAGGCACTGCGGCGCAGTGCAAGCCTGTGTTGCGGCGCGCCTTCATCACTGGCTCCGCCGCTTGCGTCTTGCCTTCCAGCGGGCCCGCCAGGACGCCCTCCAAGATCGGCACCGCAAGGGCCAGTCTGGGCACCAGCTCCCCAACCAGCGCCGCGTCAGGCACTGCGATGATGCCCTGCGACTTGGCCAACGCCATGGCCTGGTCCGCAGCGGCCTGGTGCCTTGCCCGCTCCACGTCGAGCCGATCCTCCAGTGCCCTGACGATGCTCTCCAGCTCCTCGACGCGGCGGTAGGCGGCAGCCAGCCTGCCATCCGCTGCATGCCGCGCAGCGGCCCGCCGCGCGCGCCGCACAGGCCAGAGAGAGCCCCCAGCCGCGGCCTTGTGCTGCTCCGCCGCCTCGAAAGCAGCCGTGCAGCCCGCCGCCGCCATCTGCGCCCAGAGCGACCACCCTCGCGAGCGCGCCCGCGCGGCCGAGGGAGCAGCTCTTGAGCCAAAATGGCTACGGAGAGGAGGAGGAGGAGGAGGAGGAGGAGGAGGAGGAGGAGGAGGAGGAGGAGGAGGAGGAGAGGAGGAGGAGAGGAGGGGAGGAGGAGGAGGAGGAGGAGGAGGCGGAGGAGGGAGGAGGAGGGGAGGAGGGTGAGGAGGAGGAGGAGGAGGGAGGCGTTGGAGGAGGAGGGGATAGCATGAGGAGGAGAGAGGAGGAGGAGGAGGAGGAGGAGGAGGAGGAGGAGGAGAGGAGGAGGAGGAAGGGGGGAGGGAGGGGAAGGAGGAGGAGGAGGAGGAGGAGGAGGAGGAGGAGGAGGAGGAGGAGGAGGAGGGGGGGCGGAAGGGGGAAGGGGAGGATGGGGGGGGAAGGAGGAGGAGTAGGAGGAGGAGGAAAGGAGGAGGAGGAGGCGGGGAGGAGGAGAGGAGGATGAGGAGGAGGAGGGGAAGAGGAGGAGGAGGAGGAGGAGTGAGGAGGAGGAGGTGGAGGAGGGGGGGAAGGGGAGGGAGGAGGGGAGGAGGACGCAGAGGAGGTGGAGGAGGGGAAGGGCAGGGCGAGTGGCGTGAGGAGGAAGGAGGAGGAGGAGGAGACGGCCGAAACCCTTCGGAGAAAACCACCAGGTGGGGCACGCCAGCCCCCAGCATGCGCCTCTGGCGACCCAGGGCACCCCCCGAGTCATGAACAAAACCTTACGGCGGGATGCTTCGCTGTTTTCGGCCCCTGCTGGGGGGCCCTCATCGGGGCCCCGCGGGACCATCCAAAAACGACTCGGGATGCGGAGCCAGTCCTGGGGAAGGGGTGCATTCGTGGGGGTCGTGCCATGAGCAAGAAAAGCATGACGTCGGGGGTCTGGGCACGCAGGTTCCGCGTGCGTACCCGGCCGCCTGCCTCTCATAGCCTCCCAGCAGCTCTCTGCCCCCCCCCCGATCGCTGATGGGGGGCGCTAGAATTAGGTCGGGCGTGTCCCCCTACAGGGGGATTTTGGACGAAGAACAACAAATATGCAAAAATATGGAGAAAAAAAAACAAAAATAATCAGAATATCGTCCCCAGACTATTTTTCGATTATTTTTGAAGACCCCTCCTGTAGAGGGACAGGCCCGACTTGACGATAGGACGGGGGGACTGGCTCGGCGGGAAGACGCCGAGCCGCACTCGTCGCGACGTCGCCCGTGGATCGGAGACAGGGCCCCGGTGGCGAAACCGCACGCTCCGCAGCGGGGGATGGGCCGGTGGGCCCCTGTCGCCAATCAATGGGCGATTGGAGGGCGATGCGTTCCCTCCTGGGCCTGTCCCCCCTCTCGTTGCCCCTGACCTTCCTAAATGGGGCCCTGGGACACACAAATAAATCTACACAAACAGCTGGATTCCCCATACTTTCCCATATTTTTCCATATTTTCGGGGTTTGCGTCTTCCCCCCCGCTTCCCATATTTTGCAATTTTTCCTTGGGAATCGCCGATTAATTGTGTCTGTGTGTTTTGTCCCCTCCTGACCTTCCGCTCCCTAGCTCTCGGGTCATAACTCGGACCTCCAGCAGCCGTTCGGGACGACCCCAGCACCCCAAAACGCCCTCTCGGCGAGGCGCAGCTGATGGAAACCACTCCAGGCCTCGAACGCCTTCGAACGCGCTCCTTTCCCTGGCCTGCCCCAAGCTCTGAAGCGGCGTGGGCGCTTGCGCGCGTGCGCCGCAAGCCCCCGACGTCCGACGTCTTGACTGTTTCGATGCGCGGCCCCAAAGTCCCGACCCCCTCCCCCTGGGGGTCGAGTCTTCGTCCTGGGCCGTCTCTGTCACCGCCCTCGGGCCTGGCGAAGGCCGCAAGAGGCAGAACATTGCGAACACCCTCGGCTTCGAACGTTCCCCACACAGTGCTTACACGTCGTTCATGTGTGATCGTGCTCATTTCTAATTGTGCTCGTTTCTAATTGCTCCTGGCCCCCCAGTGGCCAGGAAGAGGCCCAGGATAGAACAATTAGAACTGAAAGGATCTTGGCCCCCCAACAAAATTCAAAGACCGTTCGAAAAACTAGAAACGAACCATGTGTGCGCTTCTGGGCCCTGACCCCGCTTTGTCCGGTCCTTGGCTGGGTCGTCCAGCTCTTGGCCACGCTGCCGCCCACTGCCGCCTCATGGGCGCCTCGTGGGCGCCCCATGCGCCCATAGGGGGCTTGCCAGGCTTGCGCCACGCTGCCGCCCGTGCCGCCTCCGTGGGCACTCGGGCGACTCGTGCGCTTGGGGTTAAGTTAAGTCGGGCCTGCCCATCTACAGGAGGAAAATTCAAACATAGTCCAAACACAGTCGGGGGACGTTGGTTGGGGCATTTGCTGGCTATGTTGGAGTATTTGTTTGAGTATTTTCCAATTTTCGCCCCCCAAAATCCCCATGTAGGGTTCTGGATGCCTCCTTTAAGTGAACAAGTAATGTGTTTAACATGTGCCAGACATGTTCTAATAATGCTTTCACCATGTTTTTACACATTCGAAGCAATGTTGAAACATCTTTTAGACATCTGGAAAAGATTTGGCAGCATACTTCCTCTCCATTAATCGACCTCCACAACTGCAGGGGGACATGTCCGACCTAAGCTTGGGGGGGAGAGGAGCTGCCGATGTTGCGCCGCACTGCCGCTCGTGCCGCCTCGCGGCCGTCTCGTGAGCGCCCAGCGCGCTGAGCTCGCACCGCACAGCTGGCAACACACGCGTGCCACCGCATAGCCTGCACACAACACACACGTCGCTCATCTCTGATCGTGCTCACTTCTGCTTGTGCTCGTTTCTGATGATTCCTGACCCCCTAGTGGCCGGGAAGAGGCCCAGGATAGACCAATTGGAAATGACAGGATCTTAGCCCCCAACAGAAATCGAAGACCTTCCGGATAATTAGAAATGAACAATGTGTATCTTACACCACACGGCGGCTGTCGGAAACTCTGAACCCAAAAACGTTGTCATCCTTCGGTAGGTCACGTGTTGCTTCCGCCGCCTTCTGCTTGCCTTCCGCCGGCTTCTGCCGGCGGAGGCGGCCCAGTTTTACGTCCGCCGACCTTTCGCCGAGGAAGAGATGACAGCTCCTTCGATCCTTGAATGCAAGGCCCTTACGGGAACGCCCAACATGGCTTAGACAGCATAGCATAGCTTACACCACATGGCAAAACACACGCAACTGACACTGCACAGCTTGGACCGTACAGCTCCGTCCGCAGAGCTTGCAGCGCACAGCTTGCATCGCATGGCTGATACCTCGCCAGTGCAATACCTGACTGCTTGGGGCTCACGCGGGCAAACATTTCAATACGTTGGAGGTCTGCGCGCGCGTGCGCGCGCACGACGGCGACCTGGGCAGAAGGGGACGAGGAGGAGGAGGACGAGGAGGAAAGAGGATGAGGACGAGGAGGAGGATGAGGGGAGAGTAGGAGGACAGAGAATAATGAGGAGAGTGGATGAGAAAGGCGAGATGTCCAGCGCAAAGCCAAGACACATCAACGATGCTGCAACAATCCCTTATGCCTCCAAGGTCCCCTCTTCACAGGTCCCTGCAATAATTGTTTCAGTGTGGGAGGCTGCTCATTAGAAGACAACCGTCTGCTAATCCCCAATCGTGCCAACTGCCACAACACCATTCCTGGAACTTAAACGCCGCGCATCGCCGTAACTGTCGAGTCCTGACAATCCAAAACCGTGTCAGAAAGCTGCTTCTGGGACTTCAGTACTGCGAATCAACGTGACTGCTGCGTCCTGGCTGTCCAAGTCGCATCAAAACACCACTCCTGGGACTTCAGCCGTACGGATCCTTGTCACGACCGCACACTTCCAAAACGAATGTGCCGGGCGCTATGGCGAGAACCACATTTTGAAAGCCACCTGTCATCCAACCTTGAAGCTGTTGCAATGTTTCCCGATCTTCCTGTGTGTTGGGTCCTCGTTTTGAATTCGCAGCGCCACGCGTCTCCTTCTCCTCCTCTCCTCTTCCTTCTCACTCTTCCCTCCCCTTCCTCATCCTCATGATGTTCCAAACTCTTCGGTGTGTTGGGTCCTCGTTTTGGATTCGTAGCGCCGCGCGTCTTCGTCCTTCCGCCTCCCCGTCGTTCTTCCTCTCCTGTTCCTCTTCATCCTCGTCCCTCTTCAACTCCAGCGCACCCCTCACACGTAGCGCACCCCTCACACGTACGTGGCCCAATAGGAAGCTCAACCCAAGGCCCCAGTGGCTGCGTCCGCATGGTGGTCCGCCCCATTCCTGCGCACCCTTCACACGTTTCGTGGCCCCATAGGGAGATCGACCAGAAGCCGTAGTGGCTGCGTCCGCATGTTGTCCCCCCCCATGTCTGCGCACCCTAACACGTTTCGTGGCACTATAGGAGATTCCGCCGAAGGCTCGAGAGACTGCGTGCACATTGTGACCCGCCCCCAACCGCCCCATTCGACCGCCACCGCTCAACGTTCTTCTGGTGGCTCCATACGGATGAGGCTTCCACCGCCGAAGGGCCCCCACCAGTGGCTCATCCTCTTGCTTGTTGATCGCCCCATTTCCGGCGCACCCCCTCACGCGGTTTGTGTGGGCCCAATCGGGAAGTTCCACCGAATATTGGCACTCAGAGCAGCGGTCCTGCGTCCCCCCCCCCCCGCTATGCGTTCTCCGCCCACATGGTCTATGGTTGACCCGACCCCCCCCATTCCGCCCCATTTCGGCGGCCGCAACATCATTCACCCTTTTGGGGGACGCCCCCACCCCACCCGAAGGCCCCCAGTTGGCTGCTTCTTGCTATTCCTCTCTCTCACTCCCTTGCTGCATGGTGACCCACCCCAGTTCCGGCGCACCCCTCACGCGTTTCGTGCTCCCCCAGGGAGCACCGAGAGCTCCAATGGCTGCGTCCGCATGGTGACCCGCCCCATTCGGCGCACCCCTCACTCGTTCCGTGGCCCTGTAAGGAGGAGCTCCACTAAGGCCCCAGTGGCTGCGTCCGCATGGTGACTGGCCCTTTCCAGCGCACCCTTCAAACCCTTCGTGGCCCTATAGGGAGACCGACCGAAGGCCCCAGTGGCTGCGTCCGCATGGTGACCCCCCCCATTCTGGCGCACTTCTCGCACGCTTCGTGGCTCCAAAGGGAGCTACACCGAAAGCCCCAGTGGCTGCGTCCGCATGGTGACCCGCCCCATTCTGGCGCACCCCTCACACGTTTCGTGGCCTCATAGGGAGCTCCACCGAAGGCCCCAATGGCTGCATGGTGACCCGCCCCATCACCCCTCACACGTTCCGGGGCCCCATAGGGAGCTCCACCGAAAGCCTCAATGGCTGCGTCCGCATTGAAAATTGTCCAATTCCTGCGCACCATTCACTCGTTTCGTGGCCCCATAGGAAGCTACATTATAGGCCTCAGTGGCTGCGTCCGCATGGTGACCCGCCCCATTTCGGCTCACCCCTCACACGTTATGTGGCCCCATAGGGGGCACCACCGAAGACCCTAGTGGATACGTCCGCCTGGTGATCCGCCCAAATTCGGCGCAGCCCTTGCGCGCTTCGTGCCACCCCCGCTGGCGATTTGAATCGTGAGAGTGCGTGCGTGAAGGGACAAAAGAGTGCGGTCCGGCGTCATTCGGCAAAGGGTTCAGGGACACTGCAGATTCTTCAGTGTGCTCTTACGCGTTAAATGGTCCTATTCATAGCCGCCGCGTGTTAATATTGAAGTTAAGAATGGGTTGGGCTCTTCACCGAGATACAGATTCAAGATAAATGTTCGCGGCCCTAATGCAAGAGCCACATTTTGTAAGCCACCTGTCCTCCATCCTGGAAGCTGATGCAACGGTTGGGACGATTGTGTGTGTGCGGCACGAAAGCAAAAAACACATATTGAAAACCATCCCCCTTTCATCCGTGAAGATGCTGCGAGCTTTTAAAGCGAAATTGCGCGGAGCTAAGAAGATCATCACATTGAAACAACCCACCCTCCATCCGTGAAAATGTTAAGATATCTCGAACGAACCACCTGGCCCGCCCTACCGATACTTCTGGAGGAGATACTCAATCGAAAGGAATGGAAACGGAGAAGGAGGAGTGGAGCAGGAGGAGGAGGAGGAGGAGGAGGAGGAGGAGGGGGAGGAGGAGGAGGAGGAGGAGGAGGAGGAGGAGGAGGCAGGTGCGAGGAGGAGTAGGAGGAGGGAGGAGGAGGAGGGAGAGTGAGAGAGAGAGAGAGAGACAATATGAGGAGGGAGAAGAGGAGGAGTGAGGACGAGGAGGGAGGAGGTGGAGGAGGAGGAGAAGGAGGAGGAGGGGAGGAGGAGGAGGAGGAGTGTGAAGGGCTTGTTTGTATTGTTTGCGCGGGTGCGACGGCCCAGTTGACTGGGCCAGGATGAGAATCCGCAACCGCGGGCGGGGCGGCATCTGGTTCGCCGTCACGAGGCCTCCGAGGCCGTAGGCGTCCCCGGCCGAGCCAGCGGCGGCCAGCAGCTGCTGCAGCTGCTGCATCTGCTGTTGCTGGGCCTACTCCCGCGCAGGCGGGGGAGGGTTCGAGGATCACGAATCGAATGGTCGATACAGTTCAAGAAGGGCACCGCGTGCAGCGCGCGGGGCACAGGACGGAAGAACACCTGGACACAGACCGCTATCAAAAGGAAGAGAAGGCACCGGCAGGGAAGAGACGAGAGAGAGCGGACGCGAACATTCGGGCAACTTTGTCGTTGAACTTGGGCTCCCAGTGAGCGTGGGAGGTGGCGATGTTCGAGGATCGAGGTTCGAAACGTCTGGGTTCTAGAGCCCTTTTGGCCTTCCTGGGGCCTGCTCGTCGTCACGGCTGGAGTCGCCGTCTGATTCGGAGGGGTAGGGGACTGGGCGAGGAGGACGAAGATTATGTCGCTCCCATCGTACTTAAGACCACATCCCAGAAATACTTTCGAGCATCCAGAGAAGTGTCGAAACAGTGTCGACATAGTGTCGAAACAGTGTCGAACGAGTGTCTCCCAGGGCCCGACACGTGAAATTTCCCAGGTGTCGATTCTTGTTCTTGGTGCGTAGAAGTTCTTCCTGGAGATCCAGGCCAAGGTAGGCAGGAGCATCAGAAGACGAAGACACAGACGTGCTCGCGACGTGGCAGCAGCCGAGACTGAGGGTCGTTGCCCGCAGTCGGCCTGCCCTCGCCAGACCCCGGGCCCCGGATAATCTGGGTCCTTACCTCCGGGAGCGGCGCTTGACTCTATACTCAGGGTCAAACAGATGATGGGCCAATTTTTAAACCGCCCTAACTACACTAGGGGTTTGTGGGACGGTAGGTGAAGTGTGAGTGAGGAGTGAGGAGAGGAGTGAGAGAGGGTGGGGGGAGATGAAGGGGGGATGAAGAGGGTCCTCCTCCGCCTACTCCGCCTAAGCCTAATCATCCTTCCTCCTCTCCTCTCCTCCTCCCATCATCCTCCTCCCTCCTCCCTCCCCTCCCTCCTCCCTCCTCCCTCCGCCCTCCGCCCTCCTCCCTCCTCCTCCTCCTCCTCCAACTCCTCCTCCTTCTCCTTCTCCTCCCTAATTACGGTAGTGGTGGTGGAAGACCAGCCCATCAGCAGACGCCGGCCGCGGGGGAGGGACGCAAGGCCTATTGCATCGGGCGCCAGCCGGGAACATCAAACGTCGATCCGGGACGAAAAGCTGCCCGCAGGGAGAAACGGTCTGGTCGGGACGTCCGGGGACGACACTGGCATCCTGGAGACTTGAGGTCCGGCGATAACCCCAGTTATCGGGCTTGCCCCCCCTCCCTCCCCCAGGATAACCCTACCTTGCCGGTTGTGCAGGTCCAGGGTGGGGGGGCGCGGGCATATGCAGGGCTGCCCACAGCGCGAATGTTAGGCTATCGGCCAGCACCCTCCTCCCCGGATAACCTGGGTTATCGCCCCCCGGATAACCCGGGTTATCGGCCCCCCGGATAACCCGGGCTATTGCCGATCCAGAAAATTACACCTGAGAAAACCCCAATCAGTGGATGATTTGAAAATTAGTCATATGGATCTTGAGATCGATTGTGAGATCGATAATGAGATCGATAGTGGAATCGATCGAAGATGATCGTAAGGTCGATCGTGAGACCGAAAGTGAAACCGATTCAATGAGGTCGATAGGGAGATCGATCGCGAGATCGCTCGTGCGATCTCTAGTGAGATCGCTTGCGAGATCGATTGTGAGATCGATTATGAGATCGATGGTGAGATCGATGGAAAGGTGGGAAATGAGATCGATGCTGAGACCGATCGATAAGAAGATCGACCAGGAACCCGGGAAACTGGGAACCTCGCCGCCCACCGAAATCGGCCTGGGAACCAGGAACCCTGGAACCCGGAACCGGGAACCCGGGAACCCAACGTGCGACCAAACTCGGCAGGAAACGTCCGCCAAACCCTCCAACCTCCGCTATAGGACCCCTTCAGTGGAAGCACTGACTGGGGCAAAACGGCATCCTGTCGCTGCGGAAAAAAACGCGACGGAAGATTGTTGCTCATCGTTATGGCCTCCGGGGGCCCCCGCCAGGCTCGGGGACTGCCAGAAAAAAAAAACAACTAAGGATCACACGCCAGTCTCAGGGAAGGGGACCAGACCCCTGGGGGGCCACGCTGTGACAAAAATCACGGCGTCGGATGCCTGGGGAAGGGGGGGAATCGGACGGGGAGGACATTGATGACGAGGGGGAGATGGAGGTAATCGAGCGGAGGGATAAAAAGGGAGGATGATGAGGATGGGTGTGGGAGGATGAGGAAGGGGGTAAGTACGAGGAGGGAGGAAGATACACCTCGGACGAGGGACCATGGAGGAGGAATGAGGAAAAATGAGCGATGCAAGGAATGACGTCGGAGAGAGCGAAGGGTGGATAAGGTAGTGCAGGGTGATGGCGATGATATGATGTTGATAGAGAATGAGGGGGAGAGCGCGATGGAGAAAGACAATATTGAGGAACGAAGGATAACACGCGAGCGAGATGGAAATGCCTATGTGAGGATGTCGGTCAGACGGGTCCAGCACATAAGCAGGACTGATGGCGGCGATGATCGTAAAGATGATACATGTGATGGTGATGGTGATGCTGATGCTGCTGACAATTTTGGTGTTGATGATGATTATTGTAATGGTGATGTTGGTGATTATGACGTATTGATGGTGCTGCTGATGATGCTGGTTAGGATAAGGATGATGGTAATGATGACGATGACGGTGATGAATCGTGTGTGAATGGCGAGGGTAAGGTGGGAGTGAGAGGAAGGAACAGGAGCTTGAGCGGAGCAGAGAAAAGGACAATACACGTATAACGAGATGGTGAAGCGACAGATGTGAAGGTAGTGGCGCAAGCGGAGCTGGTCGCAGAGGCTGAGGATGAGGATGAGAACGAGGAGCAGGCGGAGCCTGGAGATGGGGAAGAGGGTGAGGGACAGCGGAATGGAGGAAGAGAAGGGTCGACGAGAATAAGGAGGAGAGCGATGGGGGAGAAGGGCGAATGAGGGGGAACAGGCGCAACTACGCCGATCGCGCTGCTTCCCAGGCCTCTCCTGAGGCCCGCTCTGACGTTTTAGAACCAGGACTTCGAAGCGAACCCAGCCGTGGCAACGGGGGAAGGATGACGGTACAGTTTTTGGCCTTCCCCTAGAATCTGTAGGGCTGAGAGAGCACGAGGCAGAAGGAGAGCCTGCCCAGCACCAGCGCCGCCGAACAGGCCCCCGCCGGTGTTGGCGCCGAAGAGGCCGCCGCCCGTGTTGGCACCGAACAGGCCGCCGCCGCCGCTGGCGCCTCCGAAGAGGCCGCCTCCCGTGTTGGCACCGAACAGGCCGCCTCCCGTGTTGGCGCCGAAGAGGCCGCCTCCCGTGTTGGCGCCGAAGAGGCCGCCGCCGGTGTTGGCGCCGAAGAGGCCGCCGCCGGTGTTGGCACCGAAAAGGCCGCCGCCGGTGTTGGCGCCGAAGAGGCCGCCGCCGGCGGGCGCCGCGCCGAAGAGGCCGCCGCTGGAGGGCTTCGCGCCGAACAGGCCTCCCCCTGTATTGGCGCCGAATCCACCTGCCTCGCAGTGCGGTGGCAAGAAGCGCGCGTGGCACACGGGCGGTTCCTCAAACCTGTCGCACTGTGCCCGAAGCACAGAGAGAGAGAACGAATCTCAACATCCGTGCCTCGCAACTGGAGACAAAAGTTCGTACCCGAGTCTTCGTCGAACCTCACGAGCTGACCGTGCCTTGCTTTCACCTCTGACCCGGTCGAAACGGCAATCGACTGTTTTTGCAACTTACTGCGGGAAAGTCTGATTTGGGCTACTTGAGGTTTGGTCGCCAACCCGCCTCTCTGACTGTCCCTTGAACTTTTTAGGAGCCTGACATGTTCGACGCAACATCTATTTGTTGCGGCATACGAATTGAGATGTCGTGGTCTGAAGAAAAAAGAAATACCTGCCAGTGAACCTTCAAGGTCTCTACATCAGGCACGTGCAGAAGTCGACGACAAACTTCACCTCGGAAGAACGGGACCACACTAACGCGACGAAAACGCACGTGTTCCTGAATTTCCTCGGCGCTACACAATGAGGATCCGGTACTTGGGGTTCGACCCTGGTCCTGGCCAGCCGTCGACGTCATCGGGCGCGTTAGGCCCTCAAGGAGTTGGAGGTCATCCTCCCTCCCCCTCCTCCTCCTCCTTCTCCTCCCTCCCCTCCTCCTCCTCCTCCTCCTCCTCCTCCTCCTCCTCCTCCACCTCTTCTTTGAAACCGTAGAATGCACAGCGCTTTGGCCCGTCACGGACGCTAAGTCTTTTCGTGACGCTCTGACGCGGGTTCGTTCGACCTCCGAACGGCCGTGGGAATCGTAGAACCTGCGCGGGTCACACTTCACTGACCTGCACCGCACGAGCTCGGATATGACCTTTACAGTTTACACACTCTCAGGTAACACGGGCGTACCCTGGCACCGCTCGAGGAAGCGATCGTCATAGCATCTACCTCTAAATGGTCCTGGGTCCTGGTTAATCAAATTCTGCTTCTGGACAATGGGGTCTCCAATTTGACCGCACCCCGTATCCTGAGATCTGGCGATCCTGGAGGACGCGGAGGGGGTTGAAATGGAGGAAGAGGAGGTCGAATCAAACATTGTGGGTATGGGGGGATCTTGGCGGGGTGGGCCGGAGAACGTGAACCGATGCGCGGGTCTGCAGTTACGCCGCACAGCGACTTGTTTCAAACAACAAGGGGGAAAACTTTACATGCATCATTTCGTGATCGATTTCGGCTCCACTGGAGAGGGGCTGATAGACCGCGTGAGCAAACGGCAAGCTAATCCAGTCTCTGCCTTCAACCACTGATCGTCTTTGTTCGCTGCAGCTCGATAGTTCTATGCAGCTGAGCCGAAACCTCCGTACTCCTTCCTGTCGCACCCCGAGACCGGTCAGTGGGGCAGGCTGGGCGTTTCGTTTGAGACTGCCTCACCATTTGTGACCCTGCAGCTTAGAAGCGTGCAGGAGCTTCAATGATGGAGGGCGGGCGATTTTCAGAATGCGTCCGTCATTCTCTCTCTCTCTCTCCTTTTCCATCTCTCTCTCTCTCTCTCCCTCTCTCTCTCTCTCTCTTTTTTTTTTCTCTCTCTCTCTCTCTCTCTCTCTCTCCATATATATATATATGTATATATATATATATATATATATATATTGCGCCGCGCACATTCGGGACACCATTTGCAGGAGCTGAGCGGATTGAGGGCGGGTGGTTTTCCAAATGTACCTTTCGCCGCAATGCCACGCACAATCGTCTTGAAAGTTTCCAAGAATTTCGCGGATGGGGGACGGGCGGTTTTCAAAATGTGGCTCTCTCCTTCGCACTGCGCACATTCTTCTGGAACGCTTGCAAGATCTGATCAGATGGAGAGAGAGCGGTTTCCCAAAATGTAACCCTCGCCACAGCGCCGCGCACATTCGTCTCAACACTTTACAGACGCTTCGATGATTCGTATGGCTGACGTCCCAAAAATAATGTTTTGGCACGATTTCGGATTGTCAGGACGCGACAATCACGTTGCTTTGCGGTGTTGAAGTCCCCGGAATCGCTTTCTGGCGAGATTCTGAACCGCCAGGACGCAGCAGGTAGAACGTTGATTCGCGGCGTTGAAGTCCCAGGGAAGGTTCTCTGGAATGGTTGGAGATGTTCAAACGGTTGTCTTCCAACGAGCCGCTTCCAGCAGTGAACATAAATCCTTGTATGGACCCATGGAGCGTAAACTTGAAGGGAGGGCTTATGGAAACATTATTGGTGAGTCTTGAATTTGCACTGGTCCTCCTTCTCCTCCTCCGCGGTCTCAAGCCCCTAGCCCGCTCAGGTCATCCGCGCATGGCTGCAATCTGAGGTGGGCGCTGAGATAGTGCTTGCGCACCGCCCCGCGTGGTTCGAATTCTTTTCTGCATGTTGCGCTGCCGCTCGCCTGAACAGCTCCGCCTTCCGATCATTGGAAGGCACTGAGTTTCTTTGACCCCCGCTCCGGCACAATAACCTTGGCTGTGGTCCGTTCCTTTGCTGACCGCGTTCGGGCGATAATGCAATCCCGTGAGCTGTCCGGCATCCACAATCGGCTGGCGGGCTAACCTGTCCACTATGACCTTGATGCGAGGCTGGGTCGTGTTGCAACTCGGGGTGATCTCCGAATTCATTATCAAACGAATCGCGCCAAACACGAGTCGCAAATGCTTGCCCTCGAAATCCCTGCTGCCGCGGAGCCCATTCCACTCCGACTTGCCGACATCTTGACGCTGAATGCCAGGCGTGGCTCGGCTACGGCTTACTCGCCATCGACTTCTTCTGCGCCTTCACGTGGCCCATGGCCTGCTGCGTGCCTGCGCCCTGAAGGGAGGATCCCCGAAGGAGAGTCACAGGAGTCGCTCCGCGCTGAGTGGTTCCCAGATCCACGGCCTGGCGCAGGAGGAGTCCCAACAGGAGGAGGCGCACATCGTGGCCTGTGCTGGAGACGGCCGCAATGTCCACGCGACCCACTGCTTGTGCCGTGCGCGCCGATGGTGGTGACCGCCGCCGGGCCGTTGGAGGCGGTGTCACTGTAGCGGGGAGGGGGCGTCGGCGGCAGAGAGACAACGGTCCGCGAGGCGGCCCCGCGCGGAGGGAGTCCGCCCAAGAGCCCATCTGTGGTTGACGGCTCGCGTGCGCCCTCTGCGGAGGCCACCCTCGTGCGCCGGGGCCCATGGTGAAAGCACTGCGCACCTGCAGGGTGCTGCGAGAGTCCCATCCCGATCGGCACGGCGGTGCGCCGATGTCCGCGTTGCCGAGGGGCGTGGCTCGCATCATGCCTGATTACACCAACGCTGCACTGGGAAATGGGGCAGACCGAATAGCAATCCTGGGACGTGGCGCCCTTCTTCGGCAAAGTTCAGCGAGTCTTGGGCGCAGTCGGCGTGACCCCCCCTTATCCGAATTAGCGGTACTCAATGGATCGCCCAGCCAGGTGAAGAAGAGCAAATGTTAGGACTCTTCCTCCTCCTCCTCCTCCTCCACCACCACCACCTCCTCCCAATTGTTCTTTGATCATCGCCGTTGAGGCTCTGGACCCCCTACCCCGCACTGTTGCCAGAAAAGAAATCGCAACTGTGTGATGTATATTGAGGCAGGCGGAGGCTAAGTCGCCAAACGACTCGGATAGTCCACCGCCGGTGGTCTGCGCACCGAACAGGCCGCCGCCGGCGGGCGCCGCGCCGAAGAGGCCGCCTCCCGTGTTCGCTGCGCCGAACAGGCCGCCACCGGCGGGCGCCGCGCCGAAGAGGCCGCCGCCAGTGGGCTTCGCACCGAACAGCCCACCGCCACTGGTCGCTGCTGCCCCGAACAGGCCGCCGCCGGCGGGCGCCGCGCCGAAGAGGCCACCGCCCGTGTTGGCTGCGCCGAACAGGCCGCCGCCGGCGGGCGCCGCGCCGAAGAGGCCACCGCCCGTGGTCGCCGCTGCCCCGAACAGGCCGCCGCCAGCGGGCGCCGCCCCGAAGAGGCCACCTCCAGTGGCGGCCGCTCCGCCGCCGAAGAGGCCACCGCCCGTGGTCGCTGCTGCCCCGAACAGGCCGCCGCCAGCGGGCGCCGCGCCGAAGAGGCCCCCCCCCGTGTTGGCTGCGCCGAACAGGCCTCCCCCGGCGGCGGGCGCCGCGCCAAAGAGCCCACCGCCAGTGGTCGCTGCTGCCCCGAACAAGCCGCCGCTGGCGGGCGCCGCGCCGAAGAGGCCACCGCCCGTGGTCGCTGCTGCCCCGAACAGGCCGCCGCCGGCGGGCGCCGCGCCAAAGAGGCCACCGCCGGTGGTCGCTGCTGCCCCGAACAGGCCGCCGCCGGCGGGCGCCGCGCCGAAGAGGCCACCGCCGGTGTTGGCTGCGGGCGCCGCGCCGAACAGGCCGCCGCCAGTGGTCGCTGCCCCGAACAGGCCGCCGCCAGTGGGCGCCGCGCCGAAGAGGCCACCTCCCGTGCTGGCTGCGCCGAACAGGCCGCCGCTGGCGGGCGCCGCGCCGAAGAGGCCGCCACCTGTGTTGGCAGCGCCGAACAAGCCGCCTCCTGTCGGCTGCGCCGCCCCGAAGAGGCCTCCTCCAGTCGCTTGCGGAGCCCCGAACAGGCCTCCCGCCGCAGGCGCCGCTGCTGGCTGGCCCTGACCCGCTGCAAGGCGCTGCGCCGCGTAGTCTTCCATCCTTAGAGAGCGCTCACATAGGGTCGCACCAGATGATGCCGGGGGATCGTGAACGTCGGGATGGAGACCGTCGGGCTCCAGATCGCGTTACATCGCCGATGCGTTGGCCGACACGATCCTCCGACCCCAATTTCTCCAGCCCTGGGCGGCCTTCAATCTTAGAATGAGGAAGCATTGCAAACACATCACGGCTTTGAAGAGCCGGCCCGAGCTGTGTCCAATCACCTGCCGAACCCTCCAGCCCAATCACCTTCCCGATCCTGCCCCGCTCAAAATGGAGGCGGGGCAAGACCCCTTGGCTCCCTGCGTCCTCAGCTCCTCGAAGGACTTGTTCTTGTAGCAATCCATCACGCCTGAAAGGCCGTTAACGGCGACAACAATACCGAAAAACGACCAAACCGATAGCGAAACCGAAACCGACCGACACCGATGGGCCGCAATCAACCTAGGAAACAGTAGGGGCGCGGAAACGACACAATGACCTACCAGACCGAACCGACCGCGACGCAGTCGACGGCGAGGCAACCGAACCGACCGAACCGCGAACACCCTTGGCATGCCCCCACCTCCCCCGCGCGAGATCGAACCTCCGCTCCTCCTCCAAGGAAATCGCCCGCTTCCGACCCCGCCCCTCGGGTCTCAGCTCAGGCCCGTGGGCGATACCTGGGGCACCTCGAGCTGCGCCAGTGCCGCCTCTGAAGCGCCGACCGTGCTGCACCAGGCGGTCGACGGCGGCGACGACGAAGACGACGAAGTCGACGACAAAGGCGACGACGATGAGGAAGAAAAGGAAGAGGACAAGGACAAGAAAGACGCCGACCACGTGGCAGCCCCTCCCGCTCCGAGGGCGGGCCCGGGGGGCGGGAGGCTTCGCTCTGGCGCCAAAGGGCCTATGTGCGCGTAGCGGAGCTTCGTCTCCTGGTCCGTGACGACCTGGAGAGGGGGAGTGGACTGTATGAGTGAGACTATGAGTAAGGATTGGAATCCTAATAACTGTCGTAGTCGTACTATTAGTCGCAGTTGTAGTCATAGTAGAAGTCGTAGTAGTAGTAGTAGTAGTAGTAGTAGTAGTAGTAGTAGTAGAAGTAGTAGTAGAAGTAGTAGTAGTAGTAGTAGTAGTAGTAGGAGTAGTCGTAGTAGTAGCAGTAGTAGTAGTAGTAGTAGTAGTGATTTCAGTATTAGTAGTAGTGGTAGTGGTAGTCGTAGTCGTAGTAGTAGT